ACCTTGATCACTCCCAAACTGCTCCCCTGCTGTCCTGATTGACACCTAACTGCTCCCCTGCCGGCCTGATCACCCCCAACTGCCCTCCCCTGCCGGCAATCTTGTTACAACATGGGGGCAACCATCTTGTGACTACATGGGGATAGCATCTTGTGACAATGTGGGCGTGGCCATCTTGTGAGGGCCCATTTGCATATTACCTCTTTATTATATAGGAGGATTGTTGTTTCCATTATTCCCATTTTTCAGATGAGAGAAAGTGAGGCATAGGGAAGGTAAAGAAATTGCCCAATATCTCACAGTTAAAAATAGTGTTGGGCACATAGTATGCACTCAATAAGAGTTTGTTGAATGCATTCTTGGATTCCCTGAGTGTCTTCCTCCATTCCCCCCTAATGCTTCAGGCCCACCATTACCATCGTGGAAGGTCAAGGTGAGAAGAACGTGTCCTTCTGGGGGACACCATTGGCAAAGTGCGATCCGCTACAGGAGCAGAGGTTGGTGGTGGAGGAGAAGAAGCCATGTCTACACGTGCCTGCCTGCGATGACCCTGAAGATGAGAAGCTCTAATACCTCTCTTCCATTCTGGCACTCTGACTTCCCAGACCTCAATAAATTAGCCTCTTCCTCAAGAATGGGGCAATAGCATTTTCTAGGCAAAAGGGCACAGCATGTCACAGTGGCCTGTTGTGGAAAACTGTATTTTCCACTGTGGCCAGTTTGTCAGGAATGAAGGCAAGTATCCATCCCTTCACTGCTGCTGAAGCCCCCAGTGTCTTCCCCCCACACCTACTCCCCAGTGTCTGGAGTCACCCAGCATTACCTTCTACAGAGCTCCATGATGTGGATTTCCTGTTTGGCTGCTCACCCTGCCAGACACTTTCCGATTGGCTGGTGTGCCTATTATCCATCTCCCCGCCTCCTAAAGCTCCCTAGGTTCCCACCTACCAGAGCCTCTGGGCTGGCAGATTCCACATCAATTCCAAGTAAACAGCAGCAGGCAGCAGAGACATGGCTGGGGTGGCACCCCGCTGCACCAGCACCTGCACCCACCCACTCCCAATAGCCCAGCTCCAAGGCTACAATTAAGGGCAACAAATAGCTCTGGAGGAGGAGGGAGGAAGTGCCTATGAGGTGCTCTAAGCCGGAGCGGGAGGGGAGAGGAGAAGGAGAGATGCTAGAGTCAGCATCTGCCAGAAGGAGCCCAAACGCAGACACATATTCCTGTTAGCATTTGTTCATTCCTTCAAAACCTATTAATGTCTACTCTATACTAGAATTAAGTCTGGGAATCTGGGGTGGAGGAGGGCTGGTAGGAGAGGACATCTGGACAAGAGAACAGACTCAGAGTAGGTGACCCTTTCCTTTGAACATTTATTCAACACTTCTCAACACCTACTGTACAGTATCCTAACAATAGTCCTGGATACCTTTGGGTAGAGGAAAGAATAGGAGTTGGAGTGGTACCTGTCTCCACAGCAAAGGGAACAAACCCAGACATTAATACCCTTAGCACTTGCTCATTGATTTTATCACTTATGAATTCTGGGGCCCTTGCAATGAGACAAAGCATAAGAATCATCATAATTATGGTAATAGCTAATACGTAGAGAGTAGTTTCTCTGTGCCTGATAGTATTTTAAGCCTCCATAGCATGAATTCACTTAATCTACAATGAAACTATGAGTGTCACTATTATTATCCCCATTTATCAAGGAGGAAATAGACACAAAAGGTAGTAGGCTGAACATTTCTGAAGCACCATGTCAGGAGCAGAGTTTAGGATTTAGTGCTGTGAGTGGAGGGGTGCCTCTGTGAAGGGGGGTTCAGATGGAAGATTTGTGACACCCCGAGTATGTCAGAATACTCCGTTCTCTGGGTTGATTTCCTCTTGGGTAAATTGGACCAGTTGATGGGTTGGGATGAAGACAAAGTTGACAAATAATCATCTTGGGAGGAATAAGCCAAAATGAGGGGTTCTGGTTGCTAATACAGAGTATGAGAAATGTATGAGAGAAAGTGTAAGTTGGTGTGTGTATGTAGTGTGAGGCACATATCCTTGTGTATGTGTGATATGTGTGTGTGTGTATGTAGTGTGAGGCACATATCCTTGTGTATGTGTGATATGCAGACCTATGGGCCTGTCCAAAAATGAAGGATGTGTCGAGTGGATGTGCAGTGAATGTGCAGTTACAACTGTGTGTGCACCATAACAATGTAAATTATAGAAGTGTGTATATACACGCATGCACATTAGGACAACATGGATATGTGTGTGTGAGTTATAAATGTAGGTACACACAACAACAAAAGCATTCTTTTTAAAAAATATATATTTTATTGATTTTTTACAGAGAGGAAGAGAGAGGGATAGAGAGCTAGAAACGTCGACGAGAGAGAAACATCGACCAGCTGCCTCCTGCACACCCCCCACCGGGGATGTGCCCACAACCAATGTACATGCCCTTGATCGGAATCGAACCTGGGACCTTTTAGTCCGCAGACCAACACTCTATCCATTGAGCCAAACCGGTTTCGGCAACAAAAGCATTCTTGGAGCCACTTCTTTTAAATTCCTGATGGAGACAGTGCAGAAGAGCCTTACCTCTGCCTCAAGGAGGAGATACTCCTGGGGGGAATCTCCATTCTTCTGTAAAACAATCTATTAAAAATGAATTTCTGGAAATTGAACCACCTGGAGAAAGGGAATGATGTTGGGGTTCATAAGTACTAAGAACCTGGAAATGGGGCCCCTGGAAAGAGGCAGTCTGGTGACAGATTCCCAAGAAACCAGGTCTGTTGACCTGCAGCTGCTCCTTTTCCCCAGAGAGGGCACCATATGTCCAGCACAACTTGTTTGTTCCAGTTATTGAGCAAAAAAAAAAAAAAACAAAACAAACGGGACCACATACTTCGAAATATTGGGAAATACCTGATTCTTGGGTAGTTCCCCAAAGTGGAGAAAGAGGATCTGAAATGGCAGAGAAGGCACCAATGGGAGAGGGGTAAGGTATGGCCTCAGCAAAGGCCTGGAGGTGAGACCAAAGCTGGCTGGGATGGAGGAGGAAGTAAAGGACTGCTTGGAAATATTTGACTTGAGGACTGGGGGAGCCTATTGGAAGAGGAGATGGGATCTGAGTCATGGGGGAGGGGACTTCCTGAAGACCTTGATCAAAGATGATCTTTGAAGGGGCAGGGGACACACTTCCTAAAAGAAGGCATAGTACATGCAAGAGTGGAGGTTGCCTCTTCCCCATCCCACCCTTAGAGGTGAGTCAAGATCATTTGTAGTTTGAAGGCAGACAGACACTCTGATTCCAGATTCCACACCATCACTACGTTGTTTAAACAAGCCAATGAAGTGATGAAAGAAGAATGGACACATGGATAGGTAGATGATTCACTGGAAAATCCTTAAGGCAGAGGAGATGCCACATCTGTCTGTTTCTTGCCATATCTTCTACCTACTTACCTCACTTGGTCCACCATCATCACTCACTATGGCCCATCCAGCCCCATTTTCTGCCACAATCCCCCCTGATCAATTTGTAGAAGCCACGCTGGGACCTCTTTCTGGCACATTGTTAAAAAGAGAAAAACATGTATGGATCACATGACCCTTTAGGAATGAATTGGAATTGAGTCCCTTCATGTGTAAATGGAAATGATTAATAACCACCCCATAGGACTGTTGTGAGGATTGGATAAGACAATTACATGTAAACAGCTCAGTTAAGCATAGGGTACAGTCAACAAATTATTATTCTTTTTAAATGAATTTGTACCTTCATTGTAATCAGGACCTTAATAGGAGCTGACAGACTGGCTTCCACAACCCACCTCTGTCCAGAATATACTAGTAAAGGTCATTTGCTCACGTGACAAACATTTGGCACCTACTGTGTCCCCAACCTAGTTTGGGTCTGCCTCTGTGGTGCAAAGAGTACTAATTATGCCAGGTGGGTATTGTGGGTTTTGGTTGTTCCCATGGCAAATGATTGGGGGTGTACAGACCCAGTGTGTGCGTGTGTGTGTGTGTGTGTGTGTGTGTGTGTAGATGGGAATAGATGGACAAATATCAGGGCTAGAGTTTTAGGAAATATGTGTGTGGCTGATCTAGTTTGTCCATCATTGTCTGTGGGTATGTGTTTTGTCTGGGTGTGCATACTTGTGTGAGTTTCCCTTATCGTCTGTGTGTTGGTGTGCTGCCTGTGTGCATATGTAAGTGTATACGTGTGCATGTATGCCCATGTGTGTTATCCTGGGCTTGTGTGTGTGTATAAACACCTAGATTGGTATGTGTTCTCTCTCTCTCTATGCCTTCGTGTGTTTCCTTACTTTTGTGTGTGTTTACATGTATTTCCACATGTGTGTCATTCCCTGTGTGCCTCCAGCCTCCCCTCAGGTGTGTACCCCACTCAAGTGTCCTCCTCCACCTGTCTAATGCTATCTAGGCCTCCTCACACCTTTCTGCCTAGCTGAGCCTGTGTGTACCCGGGAAACTGATCTCCCCATAGGCTACTCCCACCCCTCGTCGTGAGGGGGTTATTTCTCTACTTTTGTGCCTCGGGGTGTGCCTCCATTGCCACCCCCACATGCCTTCTGTGGTGACTATCCACACTGGAAACCAAGTTTCTGCGGAGGGTCCTTCGTGTGGACGCGATTGGGTGTGAAGACTAGAACGAAGTGGGGTGGGGGGCTTGCATGAACACCGACTCCGACCCTCCCAACAAGCACCCACCCCACCCCCACTTCCCAAATTGCGCATCCCCAATCGGATTGGGGGGGAAGGGAACAGGATGCGGCGCGGCGCGTGCGCACTGCCCCCTTCAGCACCGCGGACAGCGCCTTCGCCCCCTCCTGCTGGCGTGCGCCACAGCCGCCCCAGCACCGAAGGCGCGCTGACGTCACTCGTCATTCCTCCCCAAACCCCCCTGCTCCGCAGCCTTGGTCGCGTCCGTGCTACCGCCGGCCTAGCCGGACTGCACCACGCGGGGCGCGAGATAGGGAGGCGCGGGCGCGACCATCCGCTCTGCGGCGGTGGCGACTCAGCGCTGCCTCAGTCTGCAGCGGGCGGCGGCAGAGTCGCGTCGTGCGTGAGAGCGCAGCTGTGCTCCCGGGCCCCGCGCGGTCCTCCCCCGCGGCTCCCGATCAGAGGGATCCTAGGACCCCCTGCCCCGCGCCGCAGCCATGAACTACCTGCGGCGCCGCCTGTCCGACAGCAACTTCATGGCCAATCTGCCAAATGGGTACATGACAGACCTGCAGCGCCCGCAGCCGCCCCCGCCGCCACCTGCTGCCCCCAGCCCTGCGGCCACGCCCGGCCCCGCGACTGCCTCTACCGAGAGGGCCTCCTCGGCCGCCCCCGTGGCCTCCCCGGCCGCCCCGAGCCCTGGGTCCTCGGGAGGCGGGGGCTTCTTCTCGTCGCTGTCCAACGCAGTCAAGCAGACCACTGCGGCGGCCGCCGCCACCTTCAGCGAGCAGGTGGGCGGCGGCTCTGGGGGCGCAGGCCGTGGGGGCGCCGCCGCCAGGGTGCTGCTGGTCATCGACGAGCCCCACACCGACTGGTAAGCCACTGCCGCAGACGTCTCCCCGCGGGCCTGGGTCCCCAGATGGTTCCGTGGCGAGCAATTATTGAGCGCCACTTGCGTGCCCAGCACTTGACCCCCTCGCCCAAACCCTTTTTGCTTAAATTATTATGCTGGGTGCTTCCCAGTGCCCCGCCCTTACTCCCCGTCACCCCCCCCTCCTCTACCCACCCCCGCCCAACCATCACCACCAGGGCCTCCTCCATCTAGACAGGGAGCGGTCATCAGGCACCTGTTGTGTACCTCCTTCCCAGAAGCCTTGGCTTGCACATATCCTGTGAACATTTGATAACCTAATGTGCCCTTGCTTTCTCCCCACCCCCACCCCCCACCCACAACCCTCCACCAATGGCCTTGTTCTCTAATGAATCTTCTGAGCATTTATCAAGTACCTGCAGTGTACCTCAACAGGAGCCCTTCCCCAAGGCCATTGGCTCCCATGAATTTTGTGAAAATTCATTGAGAGCTTGACATGTATCTTGTGCCCTTGACCCTTGCCCTAAGGCCTTTTCCCTAATAGATCTTGTGAGTATGTATCCAGAGTGAGTTATATGCCCACCCCAGCCCTCTCCTCAAAGACCACCTCCACTATTCAGTGAACATTGATTGAGTGCCTGCTGTGTATCCCACCCCAGCTTCTCACCAACGGTGTTGCCTTTAATGGATCTTGTGAGCCTTTACTGAATGTCCTCTGTGTGCCCCAACCTCAGTCCCCCCGCCCCCTCCAAGGGCTATTTCTCCAAAGAATCTAGAAACCATTAATTAAGTGCTAGAGGTATGCCCCATCCTCAAGCCCCTTTCTCAAACGTATCATTTTCTTCAAATGAGTTTCATGCCCATTTTTGAGCCTTCTGTGTAATCCTTTTCCTACAGGTGATTAGAATTGAATGTAGAAATGAATCTAGCAGGCATTTACTGAGTGCCTCTTTTATCCTCCATCACCAAGCTACTCCTTCAAAGACCTTTCCTTTGGTAGACCATCTAGCCCTTATCAACTGCCTACTGTGTGAGCCTTCCCTAAAGACTCTTTCCTCCGGTGTATTCAGCAAGCATTTATCGAGTGCCCGCTGTTTACCCCAAGCCCTTTTCCCAACGCCTTTGTTCCAGTGGCTTCCATCAGCAGGTGTGAAGCACCTTCTGCATGATCCAAACTTAGACCCTCTCCCTAAAGGCCTTTGCCTCCAATTAATACAGTAATCACATATCTGGCACTGTGGACACCATTTCAACCCCTCTTGCCAGAGCCCTGATCTTTTTAGTCACTCCTTGGAGCATCTGTGGACCACCTGCTGTGCACTGGATTCTGTGCCTTCGCCACTAAAGTCTTTCCTCCCCGTGGATGGAGGATCAAGCTTACATAAGTCAAGTTTCTGCATCCCCACTCCCCTTCCCCAAAATATTTTTCTCCAGTGATTTTACGCCCAACCCTAGCCCTCCCTCCCCAAATACCTTTTCTCTGAATGGATTCGGTGTGCTTTATTCCCTGTCTGCCAGGTGCTCAATTCTAATCACCTTCCCCCCTAGGCCCTTTCTTCCAATGTGTGTGGAGTCACTTCTGTATACTCTATGCTCACAACCTCCTCCCCAGAGTCCTTTTCTCCCAGTGGGTCCAGTGAACATGTATGTGTATAGGGAGGATGTGCCTGCCGTGTGTAGGTAGTACATCCCCCTTCATTCCTCTTAGAATAACCTGCACCAATCATAAAGCCTCTGTCCAGGGTTCTGCATTTGGTAAGTCTAGAGCCCGATTTTTAAGGGTTACATCACCCTTTCCACTCCCTTCAATGTCCTTAGGATTCCCTCTCTCACTCTTAAATCATACCTCAAAGGGCCTTCTTTCTATTTACCACTAAACATTTATTGAGAGCCTACTATATAAAGGTAATTCCAAATCTGGAAATTCTGCCCCTGTCTCAAGTGCTACCCACCCCCACCCCTATCCAAAGGGCCTACTTCAGTCTAAATATATTGAGTACTAGTTCTTTACTAGTTAGATAACCACACGCCCAGGAACCCTTACCCAGCAGCCCTTCTATTCAGAGCCATTTATTCACTCTGCAGATATTAAATGCATAAGTTTCATGTGTCAGAGTGTGGGAGGCATTTATTAAGCACTACTAGGATACTAGGACAACCCCTTCTTCTGGTCTTCCCTCTAATCCTAAACAAACTGGATTATCTTTTTCCTCCATTTAACACACAGTTCTTTAATGAGCACTTATTGTATACCTCTAAGAACCCTTATTCAATGCCCCTTCTCCCACCCCTCTTGTAGCCTAATTCCCTTTTCAATAATCTTCACCCTGCCCCGAACTACACAATCCTGAAAGCTCTTAATGTGCACCTGCTGGCCAGGTTCCCTCCCCCACTTAGTAACCATCTTCTCAACTGATCCTTCCCCCAATGAATCCAAAAGTCAGTTATTAATCTCTTACTGTATTCTGTTCAAACTACCACATTCCCATCCCTGCAGCAGGCCCTCCCAGTCTCTTCTCCAACAATCCATAAAGCGTTTGTTGAACACATGGTATCATTCCCTCACCAGCACCCACTCACACAGATGCCATCTCTCTGGCTAAATTTGCTCCATTGACGTCAGCAAACTTTCTTGAGGCCCCTTCTGAATATTGCTAACCACCCTCCTTCAGACTTCCCTTCTCCACTCTGACCCTCCAGACAGGTGGTTTGCTGCTTTTTTCTTCATTCTAGGAAGCACTTATTACCTACTGACTACTGACACGACATTTCCCCTTTCCATAATCACAACTCGTGTTTCTCTTTTTTCCTTCTAATTTTTCCAGCAAACATTTATCGAGAACATGCTGAATTCAGTGAAAGATTCTTCTCTTCCCCTTCTGCATACCAGAACCACCTCCCCTTTATCCCAGCAGCTGCTGTGGTCTTTTCTTCCAGTCAATCTAGCAAATATTTATTTGGTATCTGCCACAGGTGGAGCAGAATGAATAAAGGGAGAGACCCTGTATACAACAGGCTCAGTGTGAGGAACAGAGACCTCTGCATCACCAACCTGCAGACATCCGTGCACGCTTTAGGCATCTCAGCCTGGAATAAAGGAGGAATTGTGCAAATTCTAAGGGATTATACATCTAAGTACAGTCTGACACCTTTCCCACCAAACTTCACCACTCTCATACTTTTTTGGGTCTTGAGTCCTCCATGATTTAAAGTTGAGACTTATCTTCCATTTTTAGAGATAATTTTGTCCAGTGTTTTCCAAACTGTGGGCCACCTATTTATTGGCTTGTGACCAGCATTTCATTTGCTTCATGAAGTAGGATAAATGAAAATAGAAAATAAAAGAGTATATTGCACATAGTAAGTGGAATTATTATTTAGTAAAACTGTTACTCCAATAAGAAATATAATCAATAATATATGCCACATATTATATATGACATATACTATATAGTACATTTATTATATAATGGGCTTATAGTATATAATGCATATAGGTGTGTCCTTTTCTTTATGAAATGAAATAAAATAGAATAGGAAATTTCAGACTCCATTGCAAATAGTAAAGATAATTATTTACTGAAACTTTCATTCTAATTATCCTATATAATAAAAACCTAATCTGCAAATCAACTGAACAGTGGAACAACTGGTTGCTATGATGCGTACTAACCACCAGGGGGCAGACACTCAATGCAGGAGCTGCCCCCAGCCTGCAGGCCCCAGGCCAGCCAAGGTGGGTGCCAGTGGACACACAACCCCCCCCCCCATTGCCCCTCCGATTGCCCCACAGATAGGCCCTAATCACTGGCCAGGCCTAGAGACCCTACCTGTGCAGGGATTTCATGCACTGGACCTCTAGTATATGTATATTTAAACATATTCTACTATACATTCTAGATACATCTACACATAATATGTAATATGCCATATATTGTATGTTATATATTATATAAGACACCCCATTTTATGTTTGCTGTATACCATATTATATGTGTCTTATATAACATGTATTAGTTACATAGGGTGGGTTATTATGTAAATATTTACATAATGGGTTATATAAACTATATTTCTTATCATGGCTCCTTTTATGTGACTTCCCTAGAAGTAGATCTCGAGGTTGAGATTTGCATGCAGATTTCTTGGGGAGAGCTCTGAGAAACAACACCTGTTACGGGGGAGGTGTAGGGGAAGCAAGAGTTGGCAGAGGGAAAGATTGAGCTATGCTGCAGCCATGACAGAGGCCTCAGACTATCTACTGGGGAGCTCTGGAGCTGGGAGGACACTCCAGAGTTACCCCAATGGAATTGGGATATACATGCTTCTGAATTCCCGCATCAGTCTGTCATTGACCACAGGCTGTCCCCTGTGGGGAGGAACAATCTTGGGGAAGGCAGATTCGTGCTACAGAGGGCAATTCCCAGGGCAGGACAACATTGTGAGGCTTCAACAACAGCTGTTCCCAGAGCTGGGGGATAGATGTGGAGGCCTGAGGATAGAGGGGTGAAGATCTGGACGGAGCACGCAGTCTACCCTTTGTACTACTCAGATTCACTTGCTTCTTAGAGGAAGTTCACCCCATCTGAGAACAGCATTTCCAGGATTGTAACTGACCTTGTTTTCTGGGAGAAACCTGAAAAAGCATGGTTGGGGGGTGAAATGCAGCCTCCACTGCCACAGTTGATAAGTGCAGCATAAATAAATGATATGCATTGTCTTCTCCTAGACATTCAAAATTCCCCTCACCCTCAGATGGAACCTCTCTTGGTCTTGGTGGCTTACCTGGTGCGTGATCCATTCTATCATCCTTGAGAGATCTCTGAGCCCTTGGTCCCCATGCTCTCCTCAGGCTGTGGCTGCTATACTTGTGTCCCTCTACCATCAAAGTTGAGCAAAGAATACCAATAGATACCCAAGCAGATCATCTGGGTTCCTCCATGCCCCCACTGTAACACCAGCTGTGCCCCTTCTGGTGATCAGGGTCATTTACCCCTGCCCAGATAGAGACTCCTCTTCATGTCTGTTGGCATGCAAAACCTGAAGTGTCCAGGTAGCACTCACAACTTAGAATGTAATGGGATTATTGCTGTGTTTCCTGGTAGTAGTGCCCCCCCCCCCTTAGAGAATCAGGACCTCTGACCTTGCAGAGCTCTGAGGAAACAGGAGACACACATTCCAAAAGTGGATCACTGAGATTGATGGTAAGCTGGGCCACTCCTACTTTCACCTCTGGGTTCCCAGACCCATGTATTTTACTTACAATGGTCATTGATTTAGGGTGTACACTGGGTTTTGGAGGATGGTGCCCCATTTGTGCACAGTATCTCCTCCAAGCTGGGATCTTAGCTGAGGCTGCAAGAAGTTGTTCCATAATTCTATGAGGCCAGCAGCTTCTGGGTGCTGTGGTATATAGGTCATCGGTTGAGTCCATGGTCATAGGCCCACTTTTGCACCTCCTTTCATGGCTGATGTAATGTTTTGCAGGATCCAATACTGTGTAAGCCCTTGAACAGTGATGCTGTCTCGGGTCCTGCAGTTAGGAAAGGCAAACCCATACATAGAATATTCCAGTCAAAATTCCTCATTACTCTTTCCAGGGTGGAATAGACCACACAGTAGCTGATTGGTCTTCTTGAGGGATGCTGCCATGTCAGGGATTCAATACTGGTCTCTGTTGCTGACAGGTTGAATATACTGCAGTAATTCTGAAGGTCCTCACATATAGCCTCTATCTCTGTTCCTCTTGCCACTTTGTGCATGTGCTCGTGTACCAGCACTGGGGTGACTGATTCACGAAGCTGGCTGACATCATCTGGCTGACTCATTCTGTCTACCTGATTGCTTAGTGCCACTTCTGTGGCAGATGCTGTCTGGTGGGTGTGAACATACAACACAGAGATCTTTTCTCCTTTTTCCACTTCATCTCCACTCCCATATGGCCACCCACATTTCTGTGTCCTAGACCTCCTTGTTCTAATCTCTCAACATATTTCTCTCAAAGCCTCTGGCAAATCAGCCAAGCCATTCGCCATCAGTGAATATATATTCGAATCTGTGGCCACTTCTCTTTCCCCCAAAAAGCAGATGGCCAAGGGTACAGCTCACAGCTTTGCCCATTGGGAGCACCGTTCCCAGGACCACTCTGAGTGGGACCATGGTGCAGCCGCTTTCCATTTTTGTCTTCCACCCACATACCAAGGCAACCTATTTATGAAGCAAGCTCAGACTTTCTCTTCCTTCATCCACTGGTTGAATAAAGGACTCCCCTTAGTGAGCTGAGGGAGGCAGTAGCAACAAAGTGGATGACATGGACATCTGGCTTACCTGCTCAGGCAGCTTGCTTGTTTTTGCTTGGGCTCAATCCTGGCTGCTGGACCCATCTGACTGTATAACTTGGCAGGTCTGGCAAGATCTAGCTTATAATGGACATTTCTGCGTACACAGTTATTTGGTACCTCATGGTCAAGTAGCTGTGTGTCAGGGCCCAATATTACACCAAGATTTGTTTCTCAAAAGGCGTGTAATTCTATGCTGCAGATGGCATGGCCTTGCTCCAAAGCCCCAGGGGCCTCTCGCTCGAGCTTCTCTTAAGCTCTACACTGTATCTTTTTCCACTGTTGACACCTCCAGTGTCACAGGATCTGATGGATCGTATGGCCTGAGTGGCAGGACTACTTGCATCACAACCTGGAGCTGCTGCCGAGCACTTGGAGTCAACACAGCCTGTCAGGGGCTATCTGTGCTCTCCCCCTGACAAATGATGGTTTCGCATTGCCTGCAAGCTGCCAGGTGACTCAGCTCCAGAATAGCATTAGAGTCTTTGTTGTTTGACGTCTCTGGCCCACTGTTTTAGGTTGGGTTCTCTGGAAACAGGTTTGGAAGCAGAAATTTGCATGCAGGAAGCTCATTGCAGAGTGCCTTTGGAATCAACACCTGTAAGGAGGACAGGGTTGGGCAGACAGAGAAGTTGGTCCACGATGCAGTTGCTTCAGAGGCCTAAGCTGGTCCTAGGGGGAGCTCTGGGGCTGGTAATGGTCCTTCAGAGTCAGCCTGTATTTAGGTAAACAGGCGGCCTTTGTACTCACTCAGACCAAATATAAGCCATGCGCTGCCCGAAGGAGGTATAACCTTGGCTAAGACAGTTCCCAGTTGGACACAGCCATGGGCTGTCAACAACTGAGATTCAGGGAGCACTGGCCCTGAAGAGAAGATCTGAACAGAGTACCCACTATACTTAATGGTGAAAAATAAAAAGGTTTGAAAAACAGTGATATACTTTGTACTTGTCATCATTTTATTTTTTTTAAATGCACATATCTAAAAAAGATTCTCTCCCAGCACTTGTGAGGAGTCATTGTCAGCAATGGAGGGTGTGTGTGTGTGTGTGTGTGTGTGTGTGTGAGAGAGAGAGAGAGAGAGAGAGGAGAGAGAGGGAGAGAGAAAGAGGGAAAAAGAGGGGGGAGGGAGAGAGAAAGAGAGAGAGAGAGAGAGACATAACTGTTACTGTGTTTGAGGTCTTTTGGTATGTCATTCAAGGCACAAGGGCCTGTTGCATTGTGTGTATGTGTTAGAGACCCTGATTGTGTACATGTCGATGACCTCAGAAGTGACTTCTCCTCTTGTCTCACTTCTATAAAAAACAAATTGGGGACAAGCTTCTGTCTGTGGGGAAGCTTATCAGGTAGGAAATCCTGGGCCTGGGGGAAGAGGCCACTGGAAACTTAGCCCAGGTGGGGATGGGCATAGGGACAGTGACATAGCAATTCATGATGTGCCTGCTGCTGCTTCTATCCCTCTTCCCTCATGTGGTTTCCACTCATCCTCAGTGGAATTCTTTCTCACTCCACCATTGCAGTCTCCAGCTTCTGTGGAACCACCACCAGCCTGCACCCCTCAATCTGCTCCTCCTGTGCCCACCCATGGCTGTTCTGTCCTTCACGGCAGAACAGCCTGAAACAGAACAGCTTGAAACAGAACAGCCTGAAACAGAACAGCCTGAAGCATCTCTCTGTTCTCTGGCCCGTGGTGAAAGCACCTCTCTGTTCTCTGGTCCTTTCCCAAGGAGGAGTGCATTCACCATGGGCCAGAGAACAGAGATGCTTCAGGCTGTTATAAGCAGTTACAGCCACCGAGCCATACGCAGGCACACTTCATCTATTTGTACTCTCTAAGGTTCTCTGCCATTATAAACTCCATGCAATGTCAAGGTATGTTGCCGTTTACAAAGCACTCCTTATTTTTTTAAACTTTCCAAAAATATTTATGGTAGTAGTGTGACAAGCAGACCGTACTTTAAGAAATATCTGCTCTCTGGGGTTTCAGGACTTCTTTAAAAATTTGCAGTGTTCTTTGTCATTTATATACCTCCATGAGGAATATTTTATGGTTTATTGTTCCCAAAGCATTGTTTGAGTTTTCAAAGTATTTCAACCATCATAACAATCACTTTATGGTTTCTCTAGAGACACTGCAGGGGCAAAGGGGTCAAAGGATTGGCCTGGGTTCTGTCTTACTGAGATTTGAGCATTGATGGACGTGCTCTGCTTTTCCTCTACAGGGCGAAATACTTCAAAGGGAAAAAGCTCCATGGAGAAATTGACATTAAAGTAGAACAGGTTAGTTGGGACACGTGGACCTGGGGATCAACTGTCCAGATTGCAAACTGAGTGGTCCTTTTTGTGTGATATGAATGAATCCCTGACTTCTTCCTTTCCAGGCTGAATTCTCTGATCTCAATCTCGTGGCTCACGCCAATGGTGGGTTCTCTGTGGACATGGAAGTTCTTCGAAATGGGGTGAAGGTGATGAGGTGAGTATAAGAAGGGTATCTTGGTTTTATGGGAGAGGGATAAGGACTCCCTTAGATCTGAGGGAGAATCTTCACCTCTTCACCCATCCTGCTGTGAGCAAGAACGTAGGCATATTACGATAGACAAACTATGGATACAACTTAAGTGTCCCTTGATGGACAAATGGATAAAGAAGATGTGAAGTGCGCATACACACACACACACACACACACACACACACACACACACACACAGGAATATTATTTAGCCATGAGAGAGAAGGAAATCCTGCCATTTATGACCACATACTAGTGTATAGACCTTGAGGACATTATATTAAGTGAAATAAATGAGAAAGAGAAAGACAAGTACCATGTGATATCACTTACATGTGAAATCTAAAAGAGCCAAACTCATAAAAACAGTAAAAAGGTGATTAGTAGTGGCTGGGGCTGGGAGAATAGGAGAGATATTGGTTAATGGTACAAACTTGCAACTGGTAGATAAGTCTTGGAGATCTAATGAACAGTAAAGCGAATATAGGAAACCATGTTGTATCATAATCATCAAACATTCTAAGAAACTAGATCTCAATTATTCTACCATAAAAATGAAAGTATAATTATGTGGCACAATAGATGTGCTAACGCTGCAATGACAATTAGATTAAAATATATAAACTATCAAACTAACACATCAGTTGTACACCTTAAATTTACACAATGCTATCTGTTAAATATATTTCCATTAAAACAAAACGAAATAAAACAAACAAACAAACAAACAAAAAACAGCCAAAGCCGGTTTGGCTCAGTGGATAGAGTGTCAGTCTGCAGACTGAAAGGTCCCAGGTTTGATTCCGGTCAAGGGCATGTACCTTGGTTGTGGGCACATCCCCAGTAGGGGTTGTGCAAGAGACAGCTGATCGATGATTCTCATCGGTGTTTCTGACTCTCTATCCCTCTCTCCTCCTTTCTGTAAAAGAAATCAATAAAATATATATTTTTTAAAAACACCTTAAGCACAGAATGTGGGAGATAGCTTCTCTTCTGAAGAAGAGTCAAGGATTCCAGCAGACCACAAACCAACTTTTCAATTATTGACTCAAAGTTTATTTCTTGAGCATCCACTGTGTAGCAGGTGCCGCTCTCAGCATTTTACATTGAACAGACATTTATTGAGAGCCCTTTGTGCACAGGCACTGTTCTACGTGCTGAGGACCTGGCAGTGAACAAAACAGACTCCCCCAAAGACCAAAAACCCGACAAAACCTCTCTGCCTTCATGAAACTTACATTCTACTGTGGGATGCACACAATAAACAAATTACTTAAAAAATGTGAAAGTGCTAAGAAAAATACATTGAGTGGCCAGATTATTATGATCTCTGAATGCATAATAATTTGGCCACTCAGTGTATATCTTATACAATAAAAGGCTAATATGTGAATTGCCCCCTCAACCAGGAGTTCGACCAGCAGGCAGGCTGGCCAACTGCCCATGTCCCCTCCCCCTGGCCAAGCTGGCCAGACCCCACCCATGCACGAATTCATGCACCGGGTCTCTAATACATACACACACACACTGAATGGCCAGATTATTATGATCTTTGAACACAAAATAATCTGGCCACTCAGTACATATATATTAGAGACCCAGTACATGAATTTGTGCATGGGTGGGGTTTGGCCAGCCTGGCCAGGGGGAGGGGACATGGGCGGTTGGCTGGCCTGCCTGCTGGTCGAACTCCTGGTCAAGGAGACAATTTACATATTATGCGTTCAGAGATCATAATAATCTGGCCACTCAGTGTATATAGCAGCAAAGGGATTGTTGGCTGATGGAGGAGTCTGAAATTTGGATAAGGTGGACCACTAGGTTAAGAGACATTTGAGGAAGACCGGAAGGAGGTGAAGGAGAGCTATATACAAGTATCTAGGGAGAAAAATTTTTAGGCAGAGTGAACACCTGTGTAAAGGTCCTGAGGCTGGGATTTATTCTGGGAGCATCCTTTGAGCACAGCTAGTGGTCTGAGACACTGTGACCAGGAAGCTGTCAGAACTGAGTAGGTAAGCTGGAAGCTGACCTGGTGTGGAGAGGAGCACGTAGGAAAGTTCAAAGGGATCACCAGATGGGGAAAGGGTACTTGTGGGGGAAGAACAGCGTGTGCATGTGTGCTGAGCTGAAAAACCACTTCACATGCACACGCTGTTCTTCCCCCTCAAGTAACAATTTATGTGTCAACATGTACACATGGTTATGTCCTGGGGTGAATCTGAACCCTGGCTACCAAAAGCGGTGAATGGCAGCCTTCACTGGTGAGCACAACCGTAAGGGAAGAGCCCAGGCCCTGGTTTGGCCCTTGTGGCTGTGACATTATTGTCTCAGCTGCCTGCAAGGGTTTGGCAGCTCCTCCTCTAGCCGGTGGTCTCAGTTGGTGGGGCGTGTCCATGCACTAAAGGGTTGCAGTTCAATTCCTGATTCCTGTTTGATTCCACTCATAAAGCCCACCCATACCTAGAGCCCCTATGGATTGACACATTCCCGCTGCAACAGCTCCCAGTATATTCCCCCTTATGTTGAAACATCTCTCCCCCGCCTCATTTCTATAAGAACAGCCCTTTCATTTTAAGAATATTGACTGACACCTGCCTCTCATTAGCCAGTCCTGGATTCCTCCTATGCCAGTATTGGTAAATCTGAGGGCCAAATCCAATTAATTACACTGTACAGCCCCCACTAAATTTCCATTTGCAAATGGATCTGTAGCTGGACTTTTAATTTTTCCTTCTTTAGTCTCTCAGTCTGCCTAGTCATGTGTCAGCATTATACTGTTTAAATTAGAAAAGCTTCACCGTGGCCGGTTTGGCTCACTGGATAGAGCCTGAGGACTGAAGGGTTTGATTCTGGTCAAGGGCATGTACCTTGGTTGCAGGCACATCCCGGGGGGGGGGGGGTGTGTGTATGTGCAGGAGGTAGCTGATCAATGTTTCTCTCTCATCGATGTTTCTAGCTCTCTATCCCTTTCCCTTCCTCTCTGTAAAAAATCAATAAAAAAAATTAAAAAAAGAATAGAAATATGGAAACTTGCTCTTTATTGTAAGGGTGGTGGGAAGCTTCTGGGGGCCAGAATCCTCACCATTCCTACCCCTACACCCCAGGTCTCTGAAGCCGGACTTTGTGCTGATTCGTCAGCATGCCTTCAGCATGGCAAGGAATGGAGACCACCGCAGTTTGGTCATCGGGCTGCAGTATGCTGGAATCCCCAGCGTTAACTCTTTGCACTCTGTCTACAACTTCTGTGACAAGCCCTGGGTGGTAAGTGACACGAAGAGTGTTATTGGCAGAGGGACTATCTCATGCATGCATGCGGGAGCTCAAAATCACTGTGATTTGGGGAAACTGAGGGAGTTTGGAAGCTTGGAACCTCCAGTTTGGAAACTCCCTCCAGGCGAAGGACTTGCTGACTTGTCTTTCTTGGCTCTCATAGTTTGCCCAGATGGTTCGACTGCACAAGAAACTGGGGACAGAGGAATTCCCTCTGATCGATCAGACCTTCTACCCCAATCACAAAGAGATGGTGAGTCTGGGGGAAGTAGAGTGGGCAAGAGGGGAAAGCATGCCTACTACAATAGGTGCCAATAGATATGTACCAATGGTACACTATCAGAGAGTATTACTGGGTGGCATGTGCTGTGGAGAGTGAAATTGCTTTGGGAAGGGGTTTATTAATACAGTGAATTTACTTATGTGGTTACAAGTGTGATTTGTATCATTGATCCTGTTACGTATAGTATCTATTTTCACCAGTACTAAAAATAGATTTCTAGCCCTAACTGGTTGGCTCAGTGGATGTAGCGTCAGCCTGCTGACTCAAGGGTCCCAGGTTCAATTCTGGTCAAGGGCATGTACCTTGGTTGCGGGCACATACTCATTAGGAGGTGTGCAGGAGGCAGCTGATCTATGTTTCTCTCTCATCAATGTTTCTAACTCTCCCTTTTCCTTCCTTTCTGTAAAAAGAAATCAATAAAATATTTAAAAATAGATTTCTAATATAAACTTACAGAACTAATATAATGAATCAGATTATATTACATATAGAAATTAAGTCATTGTTTCTAACATCAAATACTCCTCTTGATATAAATGTTGCCAATATTTCAAATTAGGATTGGCAATAAAAATAATCAGTAGCAATGTTATACATTAGATTGTTTACAAATAGTAATTGAATTGTTTTTGCTATTATCATAAAATATAATCATTAATGTTACAAATTATAACCAATACTGCAAATTATTGTTATTGATATAAATCATTAATACCAAGGTTATGAATTAAATTATAGTTGCTAATAGAAATTGAATAATTATAACTAGAATCATCAAAGATTATAACTATTATTACATTTATCAATATTATAAATTATACTCTAATATTAATGATAAGTTCCTGTTTTGAATTATATTATACTTAATGGTAGAAATTGCATTATCATTACTACAACATCAAATACTATAACTAGCATTACGATTTATTACCAATGTCACAAATTTGGATTATCAATACAAGTGATTAGTACCTATGCTGTGAAGTAGGTTTTAATTACTAAAACATATTAAACTATTAGCAAAATATTACAAATTATTGGCAATTTACATACTACTTGTGCAGAGCCTTGAGGTCAGTCTGAGATCCTGGGCAGGCACACCGCCTTATGCATACCGTGCCTTTCTAGATTGCCAGAAAGAGCTTTTCAAAGCCTCCTATGGAGATCTCATTGCCCATCTTTTCTGTTGGGTTTTTGGTCAGCTTGTTTGTTATAACTGTAATCACTGCCTCAAGCACCTGCCGATTGTTTCTAAAAAGCAGCTTCAGGCAAAGATGTTTACACCAGGTAAACTCTGAGTCAGATCAGATAGACAAGTCCTGCGAGTGGAGTTTTCTAGGAAAGTGAAAGTTCAAATACAGTTGTCTGAGAATGGAACCTTGAAGTGACCCCAGCCCTGTTCTGCCTCCTCCCGGGGTTTCTAGGCTGCAAGGCTCTTGCTGTTCAAGGCTGATGTGGAAGTGGGGAGATGGGAGCAGGGAACGTTCATATGGACAGAACTTACTGTTCTTCATGAGAGTCAGACATTTTTTAATTGTGATTCACTTTGGGCAATTTTAAAAATTCTGGGAAAATGTAATTTTTATATGTTTTGCCAGTATTCTCATTGCTTCATGGAGGAGAGGATTTTTATAGGCCCTACTCCCACCTTTCCACTGACATCACCTCCAGGCATATCTTATTCTTCCCCAGACTCAGCCAGCGGATAATGTTATTTGGCAGCTACATGTACTCATTACTATGGGAATGTCCTTGCACCTCAGAGCCAGGAAATTGATAGGAAAGTTTATATGGAAATACAAGCATATAATAAAAGCCAGAAAAACCCTGAAGTTGGGAGCAGGGGATCAGTTGTACCAGCCTACAAAAAGTCGAATGCTTCTGCCAGCAAATATATATTGTATGAAGCTTTTCTAATTTATTTATTTTTTAAAATATATTTTATTGATTTTTTTTTTTTTTTACAGAGAGGAAGGGAGAGGGATAGAGAGCTAGAAACATCGGTGAGAGAGAAACATTGATCAGCTGCCTCCTGCACACCCCCCACCGGGGATGTGCCTGCAACCAAGGTACATGCCCTTGACCAGAATCAAACCCTTCAGTCCTCAGGCTCTATCCAGTGAGCCAAACCGGCCACGGTGAAGCTTTTCTAATTTAAACAGTATAATGCTGACACATGACTAGGCAGACTGAGAGACTAAAGAAGGAAAAATTAAAAGTCCAGCTACAGATCCATTTGCAAATGGAAATTTAGTGGGGGCTGTACAGTGTAATTAATTGGATTTGGCCCTCAGATTTACCAATACTGGCATAGGAGGAATCCAGGACTGGCTAATGAGAGGCAGGTGTCAGTCAATATTCTTAAAATGAAAGGGCTGTTCTTATAGAAATGAGGCGGGGGAGAGATGTTTCAACATAAGGGGGAATATACTGGGAGCTGTTGCAGCGGGAATGTGTCAATCCATAGGGGCTCTAGGTATGGGTGGGCTTTATGAGTGGAATCAAACAGGAATCAGGAATTGAACTGCAACCCTTTAGTGCATGGACACGCCCCACCAACTGAGACCACCGGCTAGAGGAGGAGCTGCCAAACCCTTGCAGGCAGCTGAGACAATAATGTCACAGCCACAAGGGCCAAACCAGGGCCTGGGCTCTTCCCTTACGGTTGTGCTCACCAGTGAAGGCTGCCATTCACCGCTTTTGGTAGCCAGGGTTCAGATTCACCCCAGGACATAACCATGTGTACATGTTGACACATAAATTGTTACTGCAAAGATGTCCTCTGTGTAGGGAGGTGACGACTGGGTTCTCCAAATCCACCAATCCCGCTCTGGGATATTCCTTGGGCCCTGGGGGAACGTCCAGGAATACTAAAGGACAGGGCCCCAGAGGATCCAGGGGCTATGCTTGGAGATCCGGAACACCCTGGAGGATACCCAGGTTCTTATTGGCAGGAGGAGTTCGTGAAAAAGGTGTGGGCTGAAGTACTTCGTTGATTCTGATTTTGAAACCTTACCTGTACTTCACTGCTGTCAAAGTTGGTCAGAGAAATGAGGGAAGAAGAGGAAGGATAAGGTGAAGAAGGGCATTTCCAGATCATTCTGTTCATCTTTCCTAGACCCCAAACAACCACTTTCCAAGGAATCTCCCATGGGCCATGGGGCGGGGGGTTGGGGGGAAGGCTGCCCCCTGGCTGGGTTATGTGGGGGTGGGAGTCTAGGACCCCTGGGACTTTCCCCTTTTACTTCAGTCAGACTCACAGGACAAAACCTAATGGTTGGGACAGGAACACCCACAGGTTTGAATGGGGCATGACATGCTCCCTGGGTGGCATCAGGACAATGCCTGAGGTGAGGAAGAGAGCTGTTAGCCAATTGATAGGGCATTTGTCAACTAGGCTGTTGACTGGAGGGATTTGTGAACAGGGGAATTTGCCAGAAGTAGTGATTTGTCAGCAGTGGGGAATTTATGAACTGGAGAGCCCTATGCAAATAGGATTTAGAAATTAGTCCAATAAAATGCTCTAAAGTATTGACTAAAGAGATTATCCAGTAAGCTGTGGTTGATGATGCGGGTTAAATTACTGACACTGCAGATCACCAATGCTAATGCCAATGTACAGAATTATTAGCAATACCTCCAATTTTATGTAAAATTTAATAGCCAACATTTTACAGCCCTCATCCCCTCGGTATTGGTCCCAGGGTGCTCCCACCAGATCATCAGTGACATGGGCTTGTTCCCAGACACTACACAGACACCGCCTGCTGAGTGCTAGGACTTTATTTCACTGCCTTGAAGAGAGCAAGACAGAAGTGGGAAAGGGAGGTGAATATTGTGTAGGTTTCAGCTTCTGCCGGGGGCAGGATTCAGGCGCCGTGGGACCGCAGGGACTGCCAGTTGCACAACCCTTGCTTCTGTGGCAGGCAGGCAAGGAAGCGGCTCTGGAAGCCCTTGTCAGAGCCTGTGAGCAGCTGGTCCGTCCACAAACAGTGATTGTTACTCTGCAGTTTGCAGGGAATGGATGAGCAGGGGTATATCTGGAAGAGGGGAGGGAGGCACATCTCTGAGGACTTCTCCTCGCCTACAGAGCAGAACTTTCTTCTCCTAAGCTTTCAACACTGAGCTGCTCAAGAGACATCATGTCAAGCCACCTGGATACAGACTCAAGAAAGGTTCCTCCCATTGGGAGAACAGTCATTGGATTCGGTGAGGTGACAGTAATCCAGAGAAAGGATCAGTTTCTCCGTGGTTGGGGGCAGTTGCAGGGACCAGGCAGATGGGTCTCCCGAGAACTGTTCCATAGGAGAGGGAACAATTGGCAGTACCGGGAACAGCTGGGGAGTGAAGAACTGAAGCATGGGAAGGAGCTGTGGGACTCTCAGATACAGTCACTGAATCACAGGACATTCAGAGACACCAGGGAACAGTCCTGGAACAGTCCAATGGGCAATGTAACTTGCCCTCGTGTGTGTAATTGTCACAGCTGGAGAGCAACAATCATATGTGCTGGGAAGAGTCAGTGAGTTGGGGAACAGCACTTTGGGTTCTTGGAGAACGTTCTAGGAAACCAAGAAACAATCCCAGGGAGGTGGAAGGGGGAAGGTGAGGAACAAACAGCAGGACTACAGAATAGTCACAAGGGAACGTTAGAGGAACAGGAAGCAGCCACAACAGTGAATCCCCAGGTATGAGGCATATGGGGCAAAGCAATCACCGGAATGTCCAGAAGGACAGTCTCAGGTTTGGGAGAAGAGCAGGGAAGATCAGAGACAGCACGTGGGGGTTTGGGGAGTAGCCACAGGGAAAAGTGATTAGCCTGACCGAGCAAGAAACAAGCCACGAGTTCAGGAAAGAGCTCAAGAAGACCTCTCCAGGTGGCAGGCAGGGCTCAGACACTTACTGTGCATTCTTCACAACCAGCACTGTAGAGCTTGGTGAAGCCCCGGCGCTGAGCGGAGCTCAGACTGTCCCAGGGGACCACGTAACTGCAGATGGTGATGTGCAGCTGCCCGCCCCTCAGATGCCCTGGGGGAGGAGGGAACAACAAGCAGCCCCTGATTGGCTGGGCTCGGGCAGGTGACGCCTGATTTGGCGTCCCTGGAGCACAAACCCGGCTGGGGGCCTTCTGATAGGCCGAAATTGGGGCGGTCCTTATTTCAACTGGGACCCTTCCTTCCGAGCCCCGCCCCTTCAAGGTGCCAAGGCCCAGGACCAGGGGGCGGAGCCTCACCAGCGATGAGAAACTCCTCGCTGCGGTTCTGAGACCTGTGGGAGTATCCGCAGAGGTTCTCCATGGCTGGGGTGTGGACGAACTGGATGTCAGAGACGTTGAACCCTTTGAACATCTGTGCATGGATGAGGAGGACTCTTACTGACATGATCCTCCCACCCCACACACATAGCATCCCTGAGATCACAGCTAACTGCCTCGCCAACCATGGCCAGAAGCTTTTTTATTTTTACTGGAAGATGTTAGGAACTCCCGAGGAAGGGGCAGGAGGAATACCTTGGTCGTTTTAATCTCATAACGCTGATATAAAGTTGTCTGGTTGACTTCTGCTGTCCCTATAAACTTGGCCTTGATGACTGCAGGGAGAAGAGGGGGGGGGGGGACAAGTCAAATGGACTGCGTGAGCTAATAAAATAAAACAATTACAATAGTCATACTAGCAAAGCACATACTTAAGTAGGGGTTGCTGAATGCCAGATAACCCACTAAGAAATGTACACATTTGTTAGCTGATTTGCCCATATAGCGAGCGCCTGCTTTCTGCCAGGCTCTGCTTTAAGCCTCTTTCATATATTCACCAGGTGCTCATTCACTCAATGAATATTTTGGAGTACCAGCTGTGTGTCACGCACTGTTCTGGGTGTTAGGGACGTAACAGTGAACAAAACATAGAAATCCCTTCCCTTGTGGAGCTCACATGCTAGCCAGGAAGAGACAGACTAAACACAAGCAAAACAGATAGATTTGTGGAGTGTTGGAGGTATTCTGTATGATGGGCAACTTCAGAACTGGGTAAGGGGGTCAGGAGTACTAGGGGACAGGGGTTAAAGTTTCGGGGAAATAACATTGGAGGCAGTCACCCATAAGGATACCTGGGGGGAAGGGTGTACCTGGCAGAGGGAACAGCCAGTGCAAAGGCCCTGAGGAGGGACTGGGCCTGGAGAAATCAAGGAATTGAGTGAGGATGCCATGTGTCCAAAGTAGAGTCAGGGCAGGGCTGAGTGGAATTGTTCTAGAGGTGAGCGCCATTCTGAACCCCACTGGACTGAGAGGGAAACCAAAACACAGTATGGGAGCAGAGTCGGGTATACTCACCAACATCAGAGTTGCAGAAGGCCATCTGTGGGTGGTATGCACCACAGATGCAGGCCCTGCTAGGGGCTGTCAGATACAGCAACAGCAGGATGCCGGAGGCCAGGGATTCAAAGGTGGCCATGATGGATTCTGGAGGGGTGGAAAAGAGGGGTCAGGGGGCCTCCCACCCAGCAGATCCAATCCGGAAACCTGGGCAGGCCTCTCACCCCATCCTGCCGCACCCCCCAGCAGCATGGACGGGCATTAGTCTGCCACACTTGGGTTAGACGGGTTGGGGAGTTTGGGGATTGTAAGGGGACAGATATTTGAGAGCCCAGAGGATTTTCGGGGGATCGGGAAAGTTTCAGAGTTGTGGAGTCTGAGCCATTTAGGGGATAGGATAAGTGGCGGAGATTATGGCGTTGTGGTGTTTGGGAGAAAAGGAGGCCGGTGGAGTTTGAAGACTTGGGGGAGGAGGTTAGGGTAGAAAGTGGAGGTGTTGGGGTGAGGAATTTGGGGAACTATAGGAATTTGGGAGTTTGGAGTTGTGCCTATCGGAGAGAAAGGCCGAGAAGGCCTGGGAGTTGGGGAAGCTGATGAATGTGGAGGAGGTTGGGGCTTAAGGATTTGGAGCAGTTCTTGGGGGGAGTGCTCTAAGAGGGGGGGTGCAGGGGCATTCGGGAGCAGAGGAGGTTTTGAGGTTTACGAAGTTGAGGACCTAGGAGTCTGGGGTATTGGGGGGGGGAGGTTCAGAAGGTTGTGGGGGGGAGACTTGGGGGACAAAGAGGGAATTTAGGTGAGTTGGCCGCTTGCGAGGCATCTGTGAAATAAGGGGCTCACGAGCCAGGCGGATTTAGGATGGATATCGGGAGTTTGGAGCAGTTGCCCCCCACACCCCCCCTCTCCCCCTTGACCAGTCCAGGGTCGCGGTGCCTGGGTGCCCGCCGTTCGGGCTGAGCAGCGAGGTGCTCAGCGGCAGGAAAGCTCTGCCCAGGCCCAGGCCTTGCAGCCGCCTTGCCCCCTACCTACCTCTGATGCAGCCTCTCTAGACGCTGGGTCTGCAGCGATGGGGATGGCGGCAGGGCCTGAGCAGCGGAGGATAAATGTCCACGCAAGGGGCGGGGGCGGGGTGGCTGCGGCAGTCTTGCGGAAACCACAGGCCTCCACGCTTCCTGGATGCATTACTCATCCGCCCACCGTCAGTGGTGGCCAAGGGGCGGGGCCGAGGGCTGCCGAAAAAGAGCTTCATCCTCCTCCTCTCCCTCCCCCTAGGCCTCGCCCTGTCATCCCCCTCCCCCATCTCCAAGTCCCATCCCAATCCTAACCAGAGGCCTCAATGGAGTGCTTAGAGTCAGGATTCCCCCAACGCAATTCCGCAGTCTACCCATTCACCCACGGGTCGCAAACTCCCCACGGCTGAAGCCCGAATTAGTTCATTTTCGTCAATAAACATGTTTTGCACAGATACTGCATACCAAGCACACACAAAAATTCGTCTCTGGTAGACTCAACAAACTAGTGAGGAATGCGGGAGGCAGAGAAGAGACAAGTTGAAGCAGTGGAGGGAGATGAGGCCGGTGAATGGAGGAGGAATACAGTGTGGAGTAACTGAGGCACAGAGAGATTAAGTGACTTATTCAAGACCACAATAAGTGGCAGAACTGGCATTTGAACTCAAGTGGCCTGGAGCCAGACCTGGATCTAAACCCTGCTAAAAAAAACACACAGGCAAATAGCATTTATATAGCACCAACTGTGTACCTACCGGTCACTCCGAATAATTTATCTCCCTTAAAGCTCACAATTTTTGCCACAGCATGCGTGAAACTAGAGGGTATTATGCTAAGTGAAAGAAGCCAGAGAAACCGAAATACCTTATGATTTCATTTATAGGTGGAATCTAAAACACCAACCGAAAAAAACCCACACACAAAATAAAATAGAAATACACTGAGTGGCCAGATTATGATGATCTCTGAAAGCCTAATAATTTGGCCACCCAGTGTCTATCCTATATAATAAAAGGCTAATATGCAAATTGTCCCCTCGACCAGGAGTTCGACCAGCAGGCAGGCCGGCCAACCACCCATGTCCCCTCCCCCTGGCCAGGCTGGCTGGACCCCACCTATGCACTGGACCTCTGATATATATATATACACACACACACACACACACACACACACACTCAAACACACACACACACACACACACACACACACACACACACACATATACACTGAGATCATAATAATCTGGCCACTCAGTGTATACTCACAGATACAGAGAAAACTGGTGGTTGCCAGAGGGGGCATGGGATGGGTGAAATAGATGAAGAGGATTAAGTAGTACAGACTTCCAGTTATAAAATACGTAAATAATGGGAATGCACAGGGGAATATAGTCAGTAGTATTGTAATAACTTTGTATGGTGACAGATGCTAACTAGAATTTTCATGGTTATTTCATAATGTATAAAATTATTGAGCCACTATAATGTACATCTGAAACTAATATATGTCAACTATAATTCAACTTTTTAAAGATAATAGTTATTTTATTGATTTCAGAGAAGAAAGGAGAAGAGAGAGAGAAACATCAATGATGAGAGAAAATCATTGATCGGCTATGTCCCCCGCTGGGGATCGAGCCTGCAACCCAGGCATGTGCCCTTGGTCGGAATCGAACCCGGGACCCTTTAGTCCACAGGCCGATGCTCTATCCACTAAGCCAAACCAGCTAGGGCTATAATTCATCTTTCAAAAGCTCATAATAAGCCTCTGAGATGGGTACCAGCGTTATTCCCATTTTACAGATGAGGAATAGAGGAACTGAAGGACTTTCACTGGGTCACAGGGCATGGCTGGGATTGGATTTAGGCCAGCTGGCTCCAGGATCTCAATCGGGGCTTAGCAAGCGGGCAGGTGATGGTTAATTAATGAGCCCTGGGATGGGGGGAGTTGAATGGTGGTGAAAGAGGCCAGGGAGTGAGTCAGGAGAAAACTGATACTCTTCCATCCTGCCCTGCCCCTTCCCCATCAACCCCTCCCTGCCCATGCATCTGGTAGGTGGTGGGGTGAGACAACCACTGCCTGCCAAATTCCAGATGTTATTTCCATCTTCCTAGGGTCCTGGGAAGGCTGATTAACAGCCTTCGTTGTTCAGGAAGGACAGACCAATAATAATGATGGTCATGATAACAGTCCCTTGTTGAGCATTTACTGTAGACTGCCTCAAAGTCTTTGTGGAAAGTCTTTTATTCAGTCTCCATTACCCTCTTGTTCATTAAGCCGGATTAACTCAGGGAGATTAGCGCAATCCACAGCAACACCAGCACCACCACAAAAGCTCCCACCAACACTTAACGAGTCCTTAATGGGTATCAAGCCCTGTTCTAGAATCTTTGTGTAAGTACTTTATCCCTCAGTCAGTCCAGATTGCCTCCTTGTTAATGTTGGCTAACCAAGATATGATAAGCCAATAATAACAACAGTACCCGACACTACTGGAGGATGCAGACTTCCTGTGTGCCAGCTATTGTACTAAGCATTTTTCCCGACATAACTCACAATATCCCTGTGAGTTAGAGACTGTTCATATTCTCATTATGCAGATGAGGAAACTGAGACACCCAAAGCATTGAGTGAGCTGCCCAGGAATGAGAGTGAAGAAATGTCAGTTGGGGAAACAAGAGAGAGAGGGAGGGAGGGACGTAAACCAGGAATCTGGAGAAGCTGATTGTGAAAGTAGGGGAGTGAGAGTGAATGAGACAGGGAGCTGAGTAAGCCAGCGGGGGAGCCAAAGGGAGAAGTGAGGGGAGGGAAAGTCTTGCTGCTGCCCCTTGCTGACTCCGGTTCTGACGCCAGCTCTGTAACTCTGAAACCTGTGTCAGCACAGATTTCTGGTGACTGTCTACATGTGAGGGGTCGTGTGGAACCAGATTGTTGTGCAGGTTTTGAAACTGGTGGGGTTTCATGAAGGGGTGTCCAGGTGTGTGACCATCTGAGGGGCTGGATGGGGATGGGGACGGGGGGGCTCAACTGGGTGTGCAGAACGGACACCTGGCAATTGCCACCGCACACCAAGGTCTTGGGCCTGAGTGGGCCCCTTTTACAGATCAGGAAACTGAGGCCCAAAGAGGGTTAAGTGACCTGCCAGGGGTCCCATATGGTCTTAAGAAGAGGAAACGTGCCCTAGCTGGTTTGGCTCAGAGGATAAAGTGTTGGCCTGCAGACTAAAGGATCCTGGGTTCAATTCCAGTCAAGGGCACATGCCCAGGTTGCGGGTTCGATCCCCAGTGTGTGTGTGTGGGGGGGGGGGGGTGCAGGAGGCAGCTGATCAATGATTCTGTCTCCTCAGTGATGTTTCTCTCCTTCTCTCTCTCTCTCTCTCTCTCTCTCTCTCTCTCTCTCTCTCTCTCTCTCCCTCTCTCTCCCTGTCCTTTCCTCTCTGAAATCAATAAAAAATATATTTTTAAAAAAGAAGAGTAAATGCTAAGGTTCAAAGCTAGGGCTCTCCAGAGGATCCCAGAGTGCAGCATTCCTCTTGTACACACATGTGCAGGCACACTTACACGTGTCCACAGGGTTGTGTTCAGTCCCAGGCCCAGAGAAAATAGGAGGGTTTATAAAAAGAGGAGCCTAGAAAATCTGGTGTGTGTGTGCGTGCGCACAGCTCTCTGCTGTGTCTCTGCCCAGGAGAGTTGCCTATGAGCCTTTAGGTGGCATGTATGTGGTGTACGTATGGACCTGAGGGTTTTGTGTAGCCCTGTGTGTTTTATGCTGCTTCTGGGAGTTGTGTGTCTGCCTCTGGAAGGCGGCTCTGGATTGCACATGTCATGGTGAACGTCTCTCCTCCCCTGTGTGAGCTATGAGTGTGCCTGCTGTTAGGCCACTAACCGCCTCTGCGGTGATTCCCTACGACACTGCCTAGAGGATCCTCTCCGTGCCCCATAATGACGCCAAGCATTTGGGAAATGAGGAAGGTGGGAGTGCAGGGGGATGGGTAACGCCTGAAGGTCAATCGGTCACCCAGAGCTTGCGGGCTTCCTGTGCCTGTCGGGAACTGAGAACCACTGCCGCCCCAGCCGCCCCTCCCAGAATGCCTTCTCTCTACCCTGTGGGGCAGCTGTCTGCGCAGCAGATGGAGGGCGTGGCCCTGTGTGCATCCTACTATAATGGGGTTGGGGTCGCCCAACATGGTCCCTGGCTCCTGCCCAGGATCTGGGAGGCTTGATGTATGTCTGCACCTGAATGTGTGAGCATGTGAGTGTGTGTGTGTGTGTGTGTGTGTGTGTGTGTGTGTGTGCATATATGCCCAGGAGTGTTGTCTGTATGCTTAGGAGGGTTATGGTGTCTCTGGTTGTGTGTATGCCTCTCTGTGTTTACATATGACAGGGTATGTTGTGTCCCTGGATATACTTCTTGTGGGCCCAGGAGTGTGGTGTGGGTTTTAGGGGTTCTGTGAATACCTAGAAGTGTGTGTACCTTTCTCTGTGTAGTGTGGGTCCTTCTGTTTGTTGTCAGTGTGCCTAGGAGTGTTGTGTGTGTGTGTGAGTGTTGACTACATGCCCAACTCTGTTGTGTGTGCTGCTCAGAGCTCTGTGTATCTCTGGATTCTATGGTTGTGCCCCGAGGGTTGTCTTTGTATTACATGGGTAATCTCTCACGATGTGTATGCCCCTCTATATTGTGGGTGATGTGAGGGGAGCTGTGTGTGTGCCTGCCCCACACGTGAGCACCAGGCTGGCTGAATGACTGTGGGCATTTCTGCAGTTGGAGGGCAAATGTGCCCGAGAGCTTGTGTTGGTTGCAAGTCTCTCCATCTTGTGGATCTCAACATGCATGGGCACCTCTGGGTTTGGTTGTATAGCTCTGAGCTTGGAGGATTTGTGTGTGTGTGTGTGTGTGTGTGTGTGTAGGTTGTGTGTGTGTGTGTGTGTGTGGACAAGGCTTACATACAAGGCCTGGCTGAGGGGTCCAGTTGCTACATGCTCACCACCACACCCCCGTGCACACAGTCACTTCTCCATCATCCAGTTACTGTATAAACTTTCCCTCTTCCAGGAAAGCCCCCCTCCCCCTCTTATCCCATGCATCTGCCTGGGAAAGCAGAGGCGGGAAGTCTGGGTGGGTGGAGGGAGGGACAGGCAGAAAGGGCTCTGGGTTGGATTCTGAGCTCAGGGGTGCAGTGTGATCCCCAGCACTGTCTGCTTATCTCTGACCTGCCTCTTCTGGGAAATGGCCCCAAATATGTGGCTCCTGCCGGATGGCTCCCCTCAATACCACCCCCACCCCTGGCAATCAGCCCTCCTGCCCTGACCATGCTCTGCCTTTCCACCCCACCAGCTCAGCAGCACAACATACCCTGTGGTTGTGAAGATGGGGCATGCGCACTCCGGGATGGGCAAGGTGAGTCCCCAGGTTAGGTGTGTCCCTGTGTGTTCCTAAGTGTACTATGTAGATGTACATTGGGTATTCAGTGCACGCCACTAATTTTGTGTAATTGTGTGTCCTTGGATGTTTACCTATTTGTATCTTTCCCTCACATTTGTAGATTTTGTTGATCCCCTTTCCTGTCATGCACTCAGCCAGTTTATGTGTCCTGTTATTTTGTTAGTATATCTGTGTATATGCATGTCTCTGTGTTAAACACACACTGTGTAATAGTTTATGTTCAAGGGTCTTGGGGTCCTGTGTGCTTTCCATCCCTCTGATTTTGTCTCTGTGTATGTAGAAAGCAGACTTGTGATTTTTATGTTGGAGTGTGTCCGTGTGTCTGTTCATTTATTGTATATACCATTGATTTTGTGTCTGTATAGATATACTGTATATATATACAATTTTGCTACACCTTTAATGAGATAAAATTCACATACTATACAACGTACCCATATAAGGTGACAATTCAATCATTTTTAGTATGTTCAGAGAGTGATATACACCCAACTACATGTCTGTGCATACATGTAAAAGCCAGGAGGCCCAGAATCATGCATGCATCAAGTGCCTTGGTATGTCCACTGAATTTTTTGTGTACTCAGCTCACCTGTGCCACTTGTGTGCACACCCCCCGCCCTGAGGCACCCCCACTGCTGCCCCGTCCCGCCAAGGCCCTGACCCCCAGCCCACCCACAGGTCAAGGTGGAAAACCAGCACGACTTCCAGGACATCGCAAGTGTCGTAGCGCTGACCAAGACGTATGCCACTGCTGAGCCCTTCATTGACGCCAAATATGATGTTCGCGTCCAGAAGATTGGGCAGAACTACAAGGCCTACATGTGAGTGGAGAAATAGAAGCCCTGGTCTCCTGCTTTGCCCCGGGCAGCTCAGGTCCTCCTGAGACTCTCTCCTCTCTCCTGTCTCCCAGGAGGACATCAGTGTCAGGAAACTGGAAGACCAACACGGGCTCTGCCATGCTCGAGCAGATCGCCATGTCTGACAGGTGAGTGGCCTGAACTCAGCGGGGAGGGGAGGGAGGGAAGGGAGGACTGTGACCGCTCCAGCCAGGCACTGACAGGCTCTCTCACCCGACGTGTTGCCAGGTACAAGCTGTGGGTGGACACGTGCTCAGAGATTTTTGGGGGACTGGACATCTGCGCAGTGGAAGCGCTGCATGGCAAGGACGGAAGGGATCACATCATTGAGGTGGGAACACCCAGAGGTTGGTGGGGGCACGGAGGGAGGAGCAGGCGCAGGGGAGCACCAAGCCATACACCATGAAGCACTCCCAGGCCCAGAAAGCCCTCAATGAATGAATGGCAAAAGGTTTAGTAAACCATGAAGTGCCTTTTGAACTGGGACACCCTGGCAAACGGCACAACTGCTTTGTACACCTGGACATCCTTAGTGACCAGCAAAAGGCTTGTTAAATTATACTGCTCTGCGAATTGAGCCCCGGTAGTGAATGGCAAGGCACTTAATGATCTTGAAAGTGTTCAGTTGTAAACAAAAAGGAACTGTAAAGAGTACTGATAGGAAATCATTCTGTAAACTGTCAGTCAAGTACCTTATAAATGAGGACATGCTTGGTGAACAGGAAAGGGTTCATAAAAACGATCAGAAAGGAGCTCTGTAAACGGGGAAGATCTTGTGAGTGAAACAAAGGACTCTCACAATCCTGAAGTGCTTGGTAAACAGTGACACTTCGTACGTGATAACGCAGTTTGTAAAAATTGGTGCCATTTGCATAGCACTTCCTGAATTCGAAAAGCTTTGTGAACCGCAAAGTAAGACACAAAGTTCCGTGTGAAGGACAGAGCTCCGAGCACACTCTAACGCACGGATGGGCAAGTGTTTTCTGGAAAGGGCCAGACAGTGCCCATTTTAGGCTTTGAGGGCCATAGAGTAACTATGAGTTACAGCTGAGGAGGTTGAAGCTACTTAACTGCAAAAGCCAAACCAGTTTCAGCCACATCACCTTTTTATTTATTTATTTATTTATTTATTTATTTATTTATTTATTTAAATATATATATATATATATATATATATATATATTATTGATTTTTTACAGAGAGGAAGGGAGAGAGATAGAGAGCTAGAAACATCGATGAGAGAGAAACATCGACCAGCTGCCTCTTGCACACCCTACCTGGGATGTGCCCGCAACCAACGCACATGCCCTTAACCGGAATTGAACCCAGGACCTTTCAGTCCGCAGACCGACGCTCTACCGCTGAGCCAAACCGGTTTCGGCCATAGACAAAGGATTTTTAAAAAATGTTTGCCCTAGCTGGTTTGGCTCATGGATAGAGTGTCGGCCTGCAAACCCAAGGGTCCTGGGTTCATTCCCCAAAGGCACGTACCTCAGTAGCAGCTCCTCCCCAGCCGGGCCAGGAGGCAACCAATCGAGGTGTTTCTCTCACATTGATGTCTCTGTTTTTTCCTCACTCTCCCACTCTCTCTAAAATCAATGGTAAAATATGCTCGGTTGAGGATTTAAAAAAAAAAAAAAAATCTGTGGCTGTGTTCCAGAACTTTGTGTTGTTGTTTTTTGGCATCATTTTCACGTTATGAAATTTTCTTTTGCTTTTCCCACCAACTGTTAGAAAAATGTAAAACCCGTCCTTAGTTCAGGCCCCCTACAAAAACTGGGTGCTGCATGGGGTTGGGCTTGGAGGCCCTCATGTGCTAGGACAGCACCCCATAAGCTGTCAGTACCTTCCTCACACCATAAACCGGTGTCTCTCCAGCTGAAGCTCGTTTCCTTGGCAGCCGCTGTGCCCTCTGCCAACGGAAAGCACTGAGTCATGTAGCCCTCCCATGCACTTCCTCCTTTCCTCACTGGTGTTTCCTCCCCCAGGTGGTGGGCTCCTCCATGCCGCTCATTGGCGACCACCAGGACGAAGACAAGCAGCTCATCGTAGAGCTCGTGGTCAATAAGATGGCCCAGGCCCTGCCCCGGCAGCGGGATGTCTCCCCGGGCAGGGGTTCCCACAGCCAGGTCAGCTACTGGTGGGCAGGCCAGCCCTTGCCCCTGCTTCGTCCCAGAGCTAAGCAGCAGCAGGCTAGGGGCATCTCAGTTACTCATGTGATCACAATGACCAGTTGCATTCAAAATTGATCAATAGCTGCTACCCTGAGTGCTTCCCTGGGGGTCCCCACCCAACAACCTGCCTGCCTCCCTCAGCTCAGCCACAAACAGGGCAACGCCCAGCACACAGGGATCCCCTGTTCTCCTGATTGGCTGATGCTCCACCGGCTGGTGGCTATTTTTAACCTCTCCTGTTCCACTCTTCCACCGCAGACTCTGTCCCCAGGGGCCCTGCCCTTGGGCCGCCAGACCTCCCAGCAGCCCTCGGGGCCCCCGGCTCAGCAGCGACCCCCGCCACAGGGTAAGTAAGGGGCCGACTCCCTCTCCAACAGCTGCTCCCTCTCACTTGCTGGCTCTCACATGTGAACTCTCTCTCTGTCGCTCAGGTGGCCCTCCGCAGCCCGGCCCGGGCCCCCAGCGCCAGGGACCTCCGTTGCAGCAGCGCCCGCCCCCCCAGGGCCAGCAGCACCTCTCAGGCCTTGGACCCCCGGCTGGCAGCCCCCTGCCCCAGCGCCTACCGAGTCCCACATCAGCGTCCCAGCAGCCTATGTCCCAGGGCCCACCACTGACCCAGGGTCAAGGCCGCCAGTCCCGGCCAGTGGCAGGAGGACCGGGGGCACCTCCAGTAGCCCGCCCGCCTGCCTCCCCATCTCCCCAGCGCCAGGCAGGCCCCCTACAGGCTACCCGCCAGACATCCGTCTCTGGTCAGGCTCCACCAAAGCCCTCTGGGGCTCCACCGGGTGGTCAGCAGCGCCAGGGCCCACCCCAGAAGCCGCCGGGCCCTACTGGCCCCACCCGCCAGGCCAGCCAGGCGGGTCCCATGCCCCGCACTGGGCCACCCACCACACAGCAACCTCGACCCAGCGGTCCAGCGGGGCCCGGGCGTCCCGCCAAGCCACAGCTGGCCCAGAAACCTAGCCAGGATGTGCCACCATCTGCTACGGCTGCTGCCGGGGGACCCCCACACCCCCAGCTCAAGTAAGGGACCCCTCAGCAGCCCTTGCCTTGCTGCTCGCAAAACATGCCCCTGCACCAGGAGAGCAGCCCCAGCTCTCAGGCTCCTCAGACCCAGGTCCCATTCGGGGGTCCTGAGAGCTCTGTCCAGGCTATGCCAGAGCCCGTCCCCAAACCATCACCCCTTTCAGTCCACAGAGGCTCTTGCCTTCCATCCCAGGTTCTTCTCCCTCCATCTGAGAGACTTGGTGCCAGAATCCCAGAGAAGCCCCACTTTCACTTTAAAGTCTTCCCAGGATGCCCCGGGAAAGCCCCCTCCTCCAGCCCAGGCACCTGGCTGACCCTCCTTCAGTGTCTCCCTGCCCATCAAGTCCTCCTCCCATCTCGGAGCCTTCACGGCCCAACTAATCCTCCTTGACTCCTCCAAGCCCAACCTAACTCCTCCAAGCCAGTGCTCCCACCCAGTTCAGTCCTCCTATGTCACATCACCCTCTTTCCAATCATCCCCATACTTTTCCTATAGTGTAGGCCAGCGATTTTCAACACTTGTCATCTCATGGCATACATACACTGATCATGAAAATTCTGTGGCACACCGTGACAAAAAAAAAAAAAAAAAAAAAAAAAAAAAATTGGTAGAATCTCCATTCACACCAGACAGCTATTGTGTTGCCTCTGTTGTCACTTTTTAAAAATGTGACAATCTAACGGAAAAGAGGTTGGTCCCGTAATGACATAGTCACATATTGCACGTATTAAAATTCTTGTAGCACGCCAGTTGGAAATCACTGGTCAGGCTTCTTTCTGGTCTATCCCCAAATCCTTCTGGCCCATCTCAGTCTCCTCCCAAGTCATCACACCATACTCTGCCTCTTCTTGTCCATTCCAGACCTGCTCCCACCTTAGCTCAAAGTCTTCACTGCCCCACCCAACTGCTCCCCCCTTAGATTTGTCCCTCCTAGCCTGTCCTTGGTACAAGCCCCCCTCCCTCCTGGACTCCTTACCCTTGGACTGGATACCTCCCTGTCCATCTTCATCTTTCTGTCAAATTCCTCCCAGACTACCCCAGATTTAAAGAGAAGATTCAGTCCAAGACTCTTCCCATTAATCCCAGACTTCTTTACCTTAGATCCCAGTGCTCCTGGCCTGGACCAGGGCTCCCCAACTCCCACCTGATAACCCATAAGGGTCCAGGACCATGATGATGGTGGGGGGAGGGTCACAGGCACCGCCCCAGGACCAGAGGGATAGGGCTGGGGCTGGGCCTGGGGTAACATTGTGTTTCTCTCCCCCTCCTCCCTTCCTCTTCTCCCCTTCCTCCCACACCTCCTCCACCTTGTCTCTCTCTAGCAAATCCCAGTCTCTGACCAATGCCTTCAACCTTCCAGAACCAGCCCCGCCCAGGCCCAGCCTTAGCCAGGACGAGGTGAAAGCTGAGACCATCCGCAGCCTGAGGAAGTCTTTCGCCAGCCTCTTCTCCGACTGAAACCCCACACTGAGAACCCCCAATATCCCTGGGTAACCCCTGTCTGGGCCCTGAATCCATTGCTCACTTTTGGACTCTCCAACTCCCTTGAGAAGCCCTCTCCTGGTTCACCAAGATCCTTCTTCTCACTCCTCAGAATGCCCAAGTCCCCAAGGAAACCTCACTTCTGGTCCTAACTCTATTTCTCATGTTTGGAATTCCCAAATTCTTGGGAAGCCCATTCCTGGTCACCTCCAAATTCCTGAGGACCTCCACTCCCAAAGTATGGTTTCCTTTCCAGAAGCCCCCGAACACCAGGCAACCCATTCTGGCCTACACCACAGATTCCCCTCCCGGAGTCCTAAAACTCCTTGACAACCACACTCCTGGCCTGAGATCTCTCAAGCACACTTAGTTCCCCACCCGGATTCCCCAAATCCTTAACAAACCCCGACCCTTGAGCTCTCTTTCATGGATCTCCATTTCTGGAGCCCCACCTCTTCAAATGCCATCATCCAGTCCCATAAGGATTGCCCTTCACCTATTCCCAACTCTACTCAATACACTGGGAGCTCCTTGCACTGGTAGGATCCCTCAGTTCCCCAGGGACCCCTGCCCCACTTTCCTGCCTCTGACAGCTCTCTTTAAATATGCAAACTCCACCCATCCTCCCAGAATCCTTTGCACATGAAAGGCCAGTGGTCCCCCACTTCCCCACCTGTGCCGTGATGTCTGTGTCTGTGACTGACGTGGCCTCCTCTTGTGGCGTGCTTGGCATATGTGGTCCTCGTTCATCGTGCCGCCTGTGGTGATGCGTGCAGTGGCGCTGTTTGTGTGGTCTGCACCTTCCCCCAACCTCCATCCTTGCCTGGACTCTACTCCACCCCATCCCTCAGCGGCTCTGAACCCCACGAGAAGAGTCAAGAAGCAAAATAAACAAGCAAAGGCCCAGCAGAATTCTGTGCTTCTTGGTGAAGAAAGGGGGGAGTCCTTGAATGACAGGGGAGACACAGAAGGGACCCCCAATTCCACATGGGGTGCTGGGGACCCCAAAATCCAGTGGAAGGCACATCGGACACAAATTCCAGAGAGGTTTCTGAGTGGAATCCCTGCTACAAATCCCAGCCATTGTAGATAGAGGAGCTCCCAAATTTAGAAGTATCCCCAAGGTCAAGAGAAAACCGAACTATGGATGAGGCTGTGGTCTCAGTCTTTTGGGGTCCCCCAGTTCCAGAGAAATGGGAAAACACATGGGGACCCCCTCATCTCCCAGGGCAGAAATGGGGAATCCTGAGGCAGTATCAGGGCAGAGATGGAACATTGATTGGTTGGTGAGCAAGGCTCCTTGGTGTAGAAGGCTGAGCTTGGCTCCCTGGTGGCTGGGGGCAGGGCCTAAGGCACAAGGCGGGCTGCGCTGAGTAGGCAGGCGGGCAACTCATCAGCCTGGGTGCGATGCAAGGAGGGTTCGGAGGCACTCCGCTCAATCTTGGGGAGTGACCGCTGCAGCAGCTCAATCGTGGCCAGGATCTGGGGGCAAGATGGCATGAGGAGACAAATCTAGTCACATGGGCACCCCAATACCACCAGACCTCAGCCTTCCCGAGAAGCATATACACACACATTGTATATCACATTCACATCTCAGTCTTCCTCCTTCTCAGAGCCCCCTCCCCAGAGGATCCAGCCCTCCTACCCAGCCCACCTGGGGGAAGAGGGGCCGCTCCTCTCGCTGAAACTTGAGGCAATCAGACAGCAGGCGCCGCATGGCCTTGGGGCAGTTGCTGGAGATTTTGCTGAGGTCCGGGGACAGATAGCCACGGCCCACCATAAAGATAATCTGGGGGAAAGGAGGGAAGGGGAGAGGAATGGCTGATCTAGGGATTTGGGCTGGAAGGCTCAGAGAATTCCAATTCTCAATGAACTTAGAAGGCTCCTTTGGGGGAACTGGGGATTCTGGGTATTGGGGCTCTGAGGATTGTGGTATCTTGTGAATCCAAGGATTCGGGGTCTCTGAGGCCTTGTGAGGATTCTCTGCTAGCAGAACACAGGGATTTAAGCTTGAGGAAAGCCAAGGATTTCAGGTGTCTGGGTCCCAAAGGATTATGGGTCCATAGTTTTCTAGGGGGCCTAAGGACCTGGAAAGTACTGAGTCTGGGAGAAATGCAAACTTCTGGGACTAGAGGGAGCTGAAGTATTCTAGCACTCAGGAGCTTGTATTTCGGGGGGGGGGTTGCGGGGGGGAGAGTCTGGGGCCTGGGGACTATGGGTCCATGTGGTCTGTAGGACTGCTGGTATCTGGAGTCTAGAGGATCCTTGGTTTCTGAAGGCCTGCTTTGGATCTGGACAACTGTGAGAGGCTGGAGCCTAAAGTATTGTGGATGCCAGGGCCTCCAAACCTGCCAAACACCCAAGGCCTGAGTAATTGTGGGTTTCTGTACTACAGAAGCATGGAGGAATTCTGTTTCTGGGAGAAATGAGATTCTGGGCTTTGGGGACTTGCAGGATTTTGAGTACATGAGCCAAAGGCCTGGTAGTTGTTGAGGGGTCCAAAGGGCTTCTGGGTGTTGGGGAGGGGCTCGAAGGGATTTCTGAGCATAGGGGGTTCAGGAGTTTCTGAACTTTGAGGACCCAGAGGATGGTGTTTGTGGGGGAAGGGGTAGCCTGGGAAATTGCAGGTAAGGCGCAGGGCTCACCTGGTCACGGCTGCCAATGTGGCTATAAGGCAAGGAGCCGGTCATGAGCTCATAGAGCACAACCCCATAGGCGTAGACATCTGACTGGAAGCTGTAGGGGTTTGGGTCCTGCATACGGATCACCTCAGCCGCCTACAATAGGCCAGACCAGGCAGGAGAACCATGAAGGTCAGCCAATGGCTGGCCCACAGTCCCAGATCCCGCTAGCCACACTGGGTACAACTCAGAGCCACCCACATGAGGAGAAACGCACCCAAACAGGCATCCCTATCCCCCACTCAGCTCCCCATGTCCCAGCCGTGCAGCCCATGGCCCTCCACGCTCCTGGCCCAGCCTGGCCCAACGCACCATCCACAGCACAGAGCCTGAGGGCTGCTCCAAGGGCTGAGCCCCGCTCCATCTCGTCTTCACCGTGGCCAGGCCGAAGTCACCGATCTTCACTGTGAGCCCCTCATGTAGGAAGATGTCCACCGGGGTCAAGGGCCACTACAAGGACTCTCAATAGCCACACCCTCACCCTGACTGGGAGGCTCTCGTTAACACCTCCAAACCAGTCATGCCTCTAACCCTCACCGGAAGTCCCCCAATGTCACACAAATCCACCACAACCTTGACTTGAGTGGGAGCTCCAATTGGTGCCTCCTACACTTGGCCCCTCGACTTCTGAACAGGAAGCCCCTCTAATGGCACCCATACCCACCATACCAGTGACCCTGATCAGGAACTCTCTATAACTGATCAGAGTCTCCAAGAACAGCACCTGAACAAGCCACGCTCTGACTCCTGACCGGGAGACCCTATTAAAGGCTCCTCACCACCCATAGCTCTGCCACCTGGCAAGGGCCAAGTGACACACGCCCCACCCTATTCTGCCTCAGAAGCTCCCCTCCCCCACAAGACACAGCTTTCTAAGTCCTCACTGCCCCCCTCCCCCCCAGCTCTGACACAGGGACAGATAGATACTGTTAGACTTGAGATCCCGGTGGATGATGTTCTTGGCATGGAGGTAGCTGTGGGGGTGGAAGTGGGTGGCAAATTGGCTGGGGGTTACCTCATCTCCCTCCCCCAGTTCCCCAGCCCCCTTCCTAGTCCCTAGTCCAGGAGGCTCACTCCATGCCCTGGGCCGTCTGCCGGGCCACGTCAATGAGCTGGACCATGTCGAAGCGTGTGTCGGCCACGTGCAGGTGGTGGTAGAGGCTGGAGCCCTCACACCACTGTGTGATGATGGCGAACCCCGGCCGGGTCATGAAGCCCATGAACAGCAAGATGTTGACATGACGTGTCTTTCTGTAAGCAGGGAGGGAAGAGAGAGCTGTCACTCACTTTCGAAGCATTAGGAATATGCTGTTCACTGCCATCTTCTGTCATCATTTCCACCCTGCCTTTTAGGAAGCTCAGGGCCAGACCTCGTCAGATTCAATGACTATGAGATATCTTTGCTGGGCTGATTCGGAGCTGGGGCTTACGTTCTGAGCTTCTTCATCTCAGTCTCTCAACAAAAGCAGGAGGGGTGGATGACTATCTCTAAGCCTCTGCCACCCAGTAGTGTCTTAATCATCAACACCTGCCATACCTCTGATCCTGACCATTTCCTGGGCCTGTGACCATTCTACAAACAAGAAAGTGGAATGCCAACTTATGAACGTTATGCTATAGCTGAGTGATATTGACAAATGCCAGGTAGAAATATCAGTGATGTGATTATATCCTATTGATCACCACAAGAGGCTCATCAGCAAGGAAGTTGGGCTTTGGACTCAAGTGCGATCCTATGTTTCAATCCAGGCTTCCCCAGGTACCCACTGTGCAACCTCAGGAGGACACTTACTAGTAATCTGTGTCTCATTTTCCTCAAATGTGATCACTATATGAGCTACCTTATGCAGATGTTGGGAGGAGTGAGTAAATAATCTGTAAGGTACATACAACAGCACCGAAAACAAGTAAGCCCTCTGAAAATGTCACTGTCCTTGTTAATTGCTCTTAGGTACCTGGCTCTACCTCACGGGAATTCTGTCACATATGGATAGATCAGCCCTAATTTAGAAGAAAACCTCCATTCCTTATAGAAGGATTAACTGCAGTTATGGTAGCACAAGTATAAACACAGTTGACCCTTGAACAGCATAGGCTTGAACTGCATGGATCCACTTAAACACAGATATTTTCCCATAAATTACCTGTACAGTTTTTGATCTGAGGCTGGGAGTCCACGGATTCCGAGGTCTGACTGTATGCACTGACCTACACCATTTTATATAAGGAATCTGAACATCTGAAGATTTTGGGATGTGTTGTGGGGTCCTAGAGCAAATCCGCATGGGGATAACGGAGCTTGGGGAGAGCCTAAAGTTCCACACCAATTTCCAACTGTGCAGGGAGGCCGGCACCCCTCACCCCCACATTGTTCAAGGGTCAACTGTCCCATCAGTGATGTTGTGCGACTTTGCCATGTCGGAGCGGGTCACAGCACATAAGCATTCTTCATGGCAGTCATATGATGATTAAAACATGAATGTAATGCGAATGAACAGCATGCTCAAATCTCTATTTCACAGAGGAAAAACGTTTTCTTACTATGGTATCCATTATGAGGATAAGTATTAAAATAGCACAAGGGGTGAGAACATCAACTCTAACACAACTGTTCTCATCTGTCAGAGAGAAAGCCCATGCCGGCAAGCCTTGCAGTGGTAGTAACTAGGGTGGCAAAAAGGGAACCCTCAGCACAAATGGGCTAATATAGTATTAATGACATATTAAGTAGAGCAACTACAATCATTAATTAAACAATAATTAAATTACAGTTATGATTATAGTTAATTCTGTTGACCCGTGAGCAACACATGGGTTAGGGGCACTGATCCCCCATGCAGTTGAAAATCCACGTATAATTTTCAACTTCCCAAAACTTAACTACTAATAGCCTACTGTTGACTAGAAGTCTTACTGATAACATAAAATTGATTGACAAATATTTTGCATGATATATATTATACTATATTCTTACAATAAAATAAGCTAGAGGAAAGAAACTGTTAAGAAACTATGAGGAAGAGAAAACACATTTACAGTAGTATGATTGAAAAAAGGTCTACGTATAAGTGGATCTGTGTTGTGCAAGGGTCAACTGTAATGTTATTCTTTAAGTAATGGCATTATCATAATAAATTAATGGCAAGAATGCAACACAATAAGCGTAATACTAATGACAGTACAAGCAGACGAGAAAGGATGCAAGCCTTCCTGGCAATGCAATTA